TGCGTTCTTTTACCACAAGAGGATCATTTTTAACGTTGTCTTTACCAATTGTGAAATTATCCCGTTTTGGCCAATCTTTTCGGACGTAGTGTTCCTTACGAGCTCGACTGTCCCATTTACACAAAAAACACATATATTTTGTGTATCCCTGTTGCAATCCAGTCAACATGGCAACCACTTTAAGATCGGAACAAATTTTCCAATTGTGTTGATTGTAATTTATCAAATTGAGCAATAGAGCCATTGATTCATACGTTTCCTTCATATTAACGGCATGAGCTAATGGAATAGAAGGTTTCTCATTCCCTTGATGCAGTAAAACGGCTTTCAAGCTCAACTTGCTGCTATCGATGAATAAACGCCATTCAGCTGGATCATATGGCTCACCAAACTCTTCAAACAAGCCGTTTACGTCATGGCAAAAACATGCCTTGTCCTTTGTAGAATAATATTTGTCAAATTTCTTGTGACGATTCCTGTGACAAGAAATTTTGACCTCCTTGCTCAGCATGTTGTGTTCTTTCAAGCGTGATGCCAGCAATTCGGATTTCTCCTTCGATAAGTCGAGATCTCGCACCAAATCATTAAATTCGGATTGTGTAAACAGTTTTGGGTTTCTTTCCAATTCCACCTCGAAGTCTTCCTCGCATTCCTCCTTGAATTCCTCCTCACTTTTTGTAACGGTCGATTCAACAGAGGGCGCTCGTTTCCGCTTTGGATAAACAGGATACGGGACCGAACTTGAATGTGGAACAGGTTTTGTCATAGAAGCCACTTGTGGATACTCAACTGTTTTGTGACGTCCTTGTTGCTTAACTTTTGTCAAGCAGAAATAACAATCCGTTGCATGACAAAACGGTCGACGCCATATGGTGGGCATGTCAAAGGACAAATAGCGACTGACAGATAACAAATAAGTGAGTTAGTAAGTAAGTTAGATGAAGTAAGATAATTTCGATCAGGAAAGAACAAAGCACTACCATGCTGTACATAAATTGTTTATATGAAAGTTATTCAAAAAATCAATTTACCTTGCGCCTGACATCCACCTAGCCAAGCACGTTTTGCACGAACTACATAATACTTTTGGAATCCACGGTTGATTAAAACAAAATTTTTATGGAAAATTCGCAGGAAAAATAAAAAAAAAATGCTGTAAATTTTTAAATGACTTCAAAATTAAATTTTTAATTTAGACATAATATTCTAGTGACTGATAGCAAATTTATTTAGCTTCACTTTCAGAAAAAAGATTTAAAATTGGTGCACTAGTTCCAAAGATATTGACATTTTAGTAATCGTACTTTCGTCCAAAATTCAAAAAATCAAAATTTTTGTACATCTCAAAAATGGCTCTACTTTAATTTTTTCTGACCACGGCATTGAATTCAGCGTAGGATTTTGCATTAGAAACGTTGGTCAACCACTAAAGTTCACACTTTTTATGTTGTTTTGTAAACTAGTGTTATTAGGTATCCAAATTATAGTCATCCGTAAATTTATTATTGAATATATGGATGAAATTATCTATTATTGAATAACTATTATTTACGATAATTACATGAAATAAATAAAATATAAACTACAAACAAAACGTGACTCCTAAAATCTCAAAAAGATATTCTCACAAATATATTTCACGCCACCAGGAATCTCAAAACCATTAGACGTTATAATGATCCTCTGCACATGTTAGACACAAGAAGAGGCTAAAAAGCAAGCGTCCGACAAACAAAACCCGTCAAATCCACTTGCAGTCACAATCAACGATTCTACGAATCGCGAGCGCTCACGAATCTTAAAGGGTGTCCACGATGAAATTGCCACACTATGAAATTGCTCTAACTTTTTAACCGTTGGGTAGAATTTAATGAAAATTTGGGTGGATTTAGTTCATAGTGCATTATTTACATCCTGCAAGTTTTAAAGTCCTGTGATCAAAACTCGCGGAAATGGAGTCGAAAGAACAGCTCGTGCGTGATAAAATCTTGCGCATTCATCACGAGAACAAGGATCTCTCGCATCGTTCCATCGCTAAAACGTTGGGAATCGCGAATTCCACGGTGTCGCGAGTGATTAAGCGGTTCGAGGAACGGTTGACCACCGATCGGAAGCCCAGAAGTGAAGGAAAAAGTATTCCGAAATCCGAACGCCTCCGTTAGGGATGTGGCTAAGAAGCTGCACCTAAGCCGAAGTTTTGTCCAGAAGGCCAAAACTAAGGCTGGGCTTCGAACGTTCAAGGTACAAAAGGCCCCTAATCGCGACGAGAAGCAGAACAAGTCCGCCAAAACCCGTGCCAGGAAGTTGTACCTCAACATGCTGACGAAAGTTGAATGCTGCATCATGGACGACGAAACATATGTGAAGGCCGACTTCAAACAGATCCCCGGCAACCTGTTTTTCACGGCCAAGGATAAGTTCAGCGTTCCGGAGCATGTCCGCACTCAGAAGATGTCCAAATTTGCGAAGAAATTCCTGGTTTGGCAAGCCATCTGCACGTGCGGGAAGCGGAGTGCACCTTTCGTGACCCAGGACACGATGAACGGACAGGTGTACATAAAATAGTGCCTCCAGAAGCGGCTGCTTCCTCTCCTGAAGGCCCACAACGTCCCAACAATCTTCTGGCCGGATTTGGCCTCATGCCACTACTCCAAGGACGTGCTGAAGTGTGGTATGCGGACAATAAGGTCAATTTCGTGCCGCAAATGTTCAACCCTCCCAACACTCCGGAGCTCCGCCCCATCGAGAAGTACTGGGCGATTATGAAGCAGCACCTTCTTAAACGACCTAAGGTAGTGAAGACAGTCGAGGAACTGAAGAAAGTATGGGTTTACATGCAAAAAACGGTTGATTCACAGGTTGTGCAGAATCTTATGGCCGGGGTTAAGGCCAAGGTGCGGGCATTTGCGTATGGACTGTAAATAAAATACGAGTAAAATGGTAAAATGAAGTTTAATAGTTATTTCTCAGTCCCTGAAAATTTGATGGCAATCGGATGAAAACTCGAATTTTGCGAATCAATTTTGTGTGTGGCAATTTCATCGTGGACACCCTTTATTCTGTCACGGCATGAGCCAACAATGCCAGACCTAAAACATCCGTCTCCAACGCTCCACTATGAAGCATAAGATTAGGCCCGCCCACCAACGTCCAGGTTAAAAACTAGCCAAGGGGAGGGTGATATAAGCCCTTTTCATATGGAATTCTCGATTAATCCAAGTGATTAGTTGCTGATTAGTTGCTGATTAGACAAAATTGAATCATAAATTGAGCTTCAGGTTCTGAGATGATTTTGAGCTTCACTGGTTTAGTTTTGTGTAAAAATGGTACGTTAAAAAAATCAGTTCAGACATGAAAAAGTATGTATGAACGGATGGTAGTAAACATAATTACCTAGCATTAACCAGATTTAAATAAATTGCTCCATTTGCAAAATAAAAGCATTTTAAGATTGCACTTGTATACCTCACCGTGTAAAATTTTGAAACCATCATCATGTTGTAAAATCAAATTATCGATGCACTGCTGATTTGATTTGTGATTTTTTATCTGCATAATTTCTAGTTTCGATCCCATGCCATCTGGGGTGTACTGATTTCGTTGTTGCTTGCTAATCCTCGGATCCACAGCTGCTGTTGATGAGCTTATCAACGACAGGCAAACACACCCTAGTTAGTGGTGTATTGAAATTTCTGTAAACCTTTTCATACATGAATTCAATATTTATTTATCATAACCATCAACCAGTCAGCCGTGTAGGTGTAATAGAGGTCAAAAAGGTATCAATTTTCCTCATTGGGTTCCAATTGGCGAGAATCCCACCACGCATGCTATCACGGGTTATTAAATATGTAAATAGACGTAAACTTGAAGAACTACAATGGTAAACATTTGCTGCGTCGCGGCCATCGGTCTTCTCGTTCATTTACCGGTAGATTGCTTCTTCCGATGAAATGCCGAATATGTTGATAAATAATATAAACATTGTCATCTGTCACCTGGTGTGTCTCGCACTCTTTTTAACCAGCGATGCAAATCGATAACAAGGAGATTATAAATGTGCATCGATGGCAATCTTTGTTGTTCTTTGTCAAAGTTCAAAGTTACGATGATATCAGTATTTAAATATTTATTGATGAATATTTGTAAAGAATACTAAAGTCTATGTGACATATCGAAATTAAAAGAAATTTAGTATGGCACCTTTATAGATTACTATCATATGACCGATGAAGAAATAATCTTAAATGTAAGTATCGATCGATAAATATTTTTAAATGTGTACATCGAAATCAAAAGTAAAGAATTGCCGACATAAATCTTTATTTCTGTATGAAGAACTTTGAAGAAGTTTCACGAACAGTTGGTCGGGAAAGTCTCAGATAAGGTACACCATGGCAAGTTGAAACGCGTGGAAGACTTGAAACGCAAGGCGTATTTCGTAGTGGAAGTGAAGAATCAGTGGGCGCTACCACACAATTCCACTAAAATATAATCACAGTTAATATTCACTTCAACTAAGAGATACACCTTCCGTTTAAACATGCCCCAGTGTACCATTTAGAAATATTTCACAAACATCTTTTGAGTGCTAATTACAGTACGTAAAATTACTGGAGTGAATTGAATGCATACTTGGAGTGGTTTGTCACATGCAAAGCTCGTGATAAAATTCCCTTACGACTCATAGCAACGATTGCTTTATTATACTGATAATTACAAGTGATATCATTGATACTTGCGATCCATTGGTATTTGCCGTTTGCAAATGTTATCTACAAAAGTACAGTGTAATTAAAACCCTACTGCAGGTATATAAAGATTGCGGTTCTATTGCTGTGGCTCGATAGCTTTCCAAGCACCAAAAGGCTTGATTTATTAGTAAATATGCCTTGGCACCAGGTCTATTGACTCTATGTTCAAATACTGACTGATATGAATCATATGTTGTTCCCCTCTAGGAACTAGAAGTTTGCCAAAAAATAAAAAATAAACTTTACCTGATAGAAACAGTGGAAGTTTCGCTCGCCCGGATGCTGCTGGATGACCCGCGATTTTTCCAGCAAATAGTTCGTTATGATACCGCCTACCGGATCGCCTTTGTAGTCGAACTCGATGTCCATGTACTTGCCGAAGCGGCTGCTGTTGTCGTTTCGGTTGGTTTTTGCATTGCCGAAACATTCCAGGATGGCGTTGCTCTGGATGAGAACATTTTTTACCCTGAAAGAGTTATGATCAGTATGAAAATAGATTTTTTTCAGGCGAAATGCTCACAATAGACTCTTCTTTTTATTGTTTAAGCATTCGATTGTATTGCTTAACACACATTGACTTTTACGATCATAACATTTTAATTGATAATTGATTAAGACTTTTCCAAATAAAAAAATAATGTTATTTGCTTACACGATTCATTATAATTTACACTCAAAAAATTTCACACGTCCTCATCATGTAGCTCACACTTAATTTTGCACTTATTGTGAAACACATCCATTTCATGTGTGAATCTTATGCTTTGAACCATGCCTCAGAACTATTAGTTCGAATTGTGACGCACTTGGATTATATGTGCCTTACATGCTGTTATCAATAGCTTTGCACATCATAGTTCAATTTTCTACAATATTCTACTTTATCGACTCAAAAATTAAATCGACAAATATGTAAAACAAAGCTGCCTGAGGGCAGAGCAAACACATGCCTTTTACTTAATGGGTCTGATTTGGGAATTGATCCTGGACTGTTGGGGTGGTGCTGCTGCAGTTGCCTTCGTTCGATCTCACTGACCCATGGTTGTTCTCATATGTGAGGCTGGTTGATAAGTATGAAGTCACAACTCATGTTTTCAATGTTTACCTTGCAGAACAAGCATTTCACATCGCATTGAAATGCAAAACACTTCAAATCCATCTGTTTTGAACAGTGGTGCGACGCAATGTGCAATACACTTGAATTGATAGAGAAAGATTATCAACATTTCATAGTTTGAAACACAAGAAATCAACGTGTAGAACAAATTGAACCATGGTGAAATACACTTAAAATAAATGTGATTGTGTATATGAAATATCAAGTGTTCAAACACATCGATCAGACGTGTGGAGTTTTTTGAGTGTACAAATTTGTACTATAGCACAACTTTTCAAAGAAAACCTTGTTTTGTGTCCTCTACATTTTTTTTTACAACAACAATAATAATAATAAAGTCTGGAACGCGCAAAAATTGGTCAACTTCAAATTGGTGTATTTCTGTTAAAAATGCATAAAAAACCTGGAATGCTGCATTCGGAAGTTGAGTGTATATACAATGGTTGCTATGATGAGTTTTCACCGTTTGCTCTCCAGTTTTCAAAATGAAGTCCAAGCAAGAGGAGCAGCATGTCAAAATTTTGCTCGCGCAGCAAGAGAATCCGACGTTCTCACACGCCAAGTTGGCAAATTGCTGGATGTGGCCAAATCGACCGTGACAAACGTTTTAAAAGTGTTCGGGGAGCGTCTGTCGACCACCAGGAAGCCTGGAAGCGGCGGCAATCGTAATCCGGACGTGGCAGCGACGACGAAGAAGGTGGCGGTGAAATATAAGCGGAATCCTAACCTCTCCATCCGGGACGTCGCTGGCAAGCTCAATGTCTCCCATACTACTGTGCAGCGGGCCAAGAAACGAGCCGGGTTGTCGACGTTTAAGAAGGTGAAGGTGGCGAACCGAGATTACAAACAAAACACGTCGGCAAAGCAGCGGTCCCGAAAGTTGTATACGAATCTGCTCACAAAGTTCGACTGTGTCGTCATGGACGACGAAACTTATGTGAAGGCGGATTTCAAGTAGCTTCCGGGACAGGAGTTTTATACCGCATCAGGAAAAGAGAAGGTAGCTGAAATTTTCAAAACCATTAAACTATCGAAGTCCCCGAAAAAATATTTCGTCTAGCAGGCCATATACACGTGTGGTCTAAAAAGCGGCAGAACCAACAATCAGGAGATCTACGTCCAGAAGTGCTTGGAAAAGCGGCTGCTACCATTCCTAAAGCAACATAATAGACCTGTGCTGTTCTGGCCGGAAAAAGGAAATCGAGTGGTACGATGCGAACAACGTGGTTGTGGTACCAAAAGACCACAACCCTTCCAACAGCCCAGAACTCCGCCCTATCGAACGGTATTGAGCCTTGGTCAAACGGAATCTCAAAAAACTAATAAATCCATGGAAAAACGAGCAGCAGTTTAAATCTTACTGGCGTTCGGCGGCGAATGAGGTCGATGAGACCACTGTGCAAAATTTAATGGAAGGCGTTAAGCGGAAGGCACGGCACTTCGGATTTGGCAAACCAAAAGAATAAACGAACATTTTTTTCTTTAAATATATGAATTGAACTGCCAGAAGAAAAATAAGAAGATTTTTGTGATATGAATTTTGACTGAAAGAAACGATTTTTTTTCGAAGGGTGTATTCGACAAAAATGGACACACATCAACAGCTGTATCTATTTAACTATTATACCAACTAATTTTAAATTTTCAGAGAATGTCCTTTAGAGAGTACTAAACTAGTAAAACATATGCCATGATTCAAATACGAGCTTTGGCTTAGGTTTTAATCAAGAAAACAAAATGTTGCCTTGAAATGTTCTTACAGCGATGAAAAAAAAATACATTTTGCTAATTAATCTCATGGTTATATTACTCGAGATGGAGCAACTTTTAGACCTTCATAAAAATTGCATGTGTACGTTATGGACCAACCAATCTTCACTGAAATCATTTGGTATAATAGTTACGTGTGTGCCATTATTTCGAATACACCTCTTATTACATGTAATGCTGACATTTTGTGACGCGGCTTATGAGCATGGCAAAAATGCTGGCGGCTTTGTAAAAGTTTTCAAAGGGGCAATTAGCGAAAGCTGATTTTTTTAAATTTGATTGTCCGAGGAGAGCGCCATATGGTTCCCATAGTTATTTCGGACGGGTAAACAATTCGTTGAACACTTTTCGGTGAAATAACTCGTTATTTCGTAGGGAATCGTTAAGGATAGTAATGTTTTTGATAGGAAGCGTCTATTAACCAACAAAGGGCACCCATTTTTCATTTGTTTTGTTTGGAATATTCAACCACTTACCTTTCAATATCGTTCTGCTTGCCCTGGTTGGTAACGGCGGCAATGTATTTCATTATGATTTTCGAAGCCTCGGTTTTGCCGGCACCGGATTCGCCGGAAATCATGATGCATGTATCTTGGTTCCTTTGTTTGTGCACCCGGTAGGCGGCATCGGCGATGGCAAATATGTGTGGCATATTTTCGAACAGCTCTCGACCTTTATAACGGCTGACCTGTTCCGGGCCATAGATGTTCATCTCTCGGTAGGGATTCATCGAGATGCATACCTCGCCGATGTATGTGTAGATTTTTCCAGCTTGAAACCTGCGGAATGGAAACGATAAAATAGAGAATGTGGTTCAATCGACAAAGGATAACAAATTTGTGGTATACGGGGAATGTGAGCAACATGAGAATTAAACAATTTACACTGGCATTTATACTAGCAAACGTTAGCATATTGTGGGGGAAAGTAGAGAAGTTGTTCGACTGGACATGGAATGTCAAGCGTTTTTATTTTGGAATCAATTCTGCGCTACAGCAATATTCTCTATTGATACTTCGTAATTTAGATGAATCTACAGCTGTTCTTAATAACGCTTTGAAAACGTGTACCAATCAACTAGTTGAGCAAAAGTTTGTTTCTTTGAAAAACTCGAACAGCTGGTACAATTTGGATCTTTTGCTTTTTAAACGGAAAAGGGACAAATGGTTCAAAAAGTTTTGTAGATCAAATAATGACAATCATTGGAATAGATACACATTCGCGCGTAATAAGTATTCACAATCGATAAAGAAAACTCGTTGTGAATTATGCACAAAGGAAGATTGATCAGCATCAAAACAACAGCAAAGAATCATGATGAATGTGGGCGAGAGAAAGAAGGATTAGTAATTTCCATTTCCACTAGAGTATTAGTACAAGACACTGAAGAAGTCTGCATATTGTAGACGAAATGCGCGTATCTGTCAAGGATAAGCAAATAAGGTAGTGGAATTAAATGGAAATTACTAATCCCTCTCTCTCTCATTAAACAGCAGAGTCATGGAAAATTTTGAAATCTTTATTAAAACCTAGTAATTGCAAACCGCGGTCCATAACTTTTAATGGCACATTAGAACAGTCAGAACAAGTAATTGCATCTAAGTATAATGATTATTTTGTCGACAGTTTTTAATTGATTAATCAATCTATTGAATTGGTCGATGAACCTGACGAAATAATACGTTTAATAAAAAATAATAAAAAAAACTGAATTATCCACCACATCACTGGATAGTAGCTGAATTGTTTACCACATCGCTGCTCAACCTCCGTTTTACCCACCCCTGAAAGAAATGTACGTAAAACAGAAGCGAGGCATAGCGATCTTGTTTTCACGTACGGGCACGCTGGGATTTTACCACGTGCAGACCAATGAGCTGGATTACCAAGGTGAAGCAATCACTCACACAACCACTGTACGATACACGCAAGTACACGCAAGTAGTGACGTCACTACTTGCGTTTACGTTGATTTTTTGGTTTACTAATACAACCCTATTTCACGATCTGCGCCACCTCTCTCTGTACCTCATTGCGTGCAGACAACACTCTTTTTGGGCTTCTATGGCGAATGAGCGACACAAAACAAGCAAGGAAAATATGCCTTCGTTCTACTAAAGCCACCGCATGCTAAGTTCTCCCAGTCTGAGCACTTATGCTTGTGCACCAGAAACGCTCGTATTTACACCCAGATCAGTTGTATATGTATTGAAGTCCCGTAAGCATAATTGCCGCTGTGTTAGTGTTTATTTTGTGCACTTCTATCTTTGCACAGTTTAAAGAGAAGATAATAAATTGGCACGTATAGACTACGTCGCATTTGAGTTTCTCTCTGAATTGATTGAATCTTGGAGAGCCGTCATTCGTTGTATACCTACCTACACGCAAACATCGAATTTTTAAATTTTTAAATTTTCTCACTACCATGTCTGCATTTCTCGATGAACATTTCAAATGGTCCTATCTGCTTTGATCGATTCTCTTCATCGACTTTCTCTTCATCGACTTTCTCTTTTCATAACCACTGCTATGCAAACAGATTTCGCGCTAATTCTACCACATAGTTTGATAAAGGAGGTTCTTATCTAGCGTCCAAAACGTCAAATACAGCAGGGAAAGTTTTTGCAGCTGAGTTATTAACGAAAGAGAAAGTCGATGAAGAGAATCGATCAAAGCAGATAGGACCATTTGAAATGTTCATCGAGATTTCATTCAGTAGCCTCAGAGCATTGATGGAATATTGTTCATAGCATAGTGCAAAATTAAATAGGAATCATGGAACAGGATATTGTTGATGACCTCCTGAAAAGACCGTTTGCCAGAAGGTGAGTAACGATGACAAATATCATAAACATGAGACTTAAAAAGAAAATCAATGTTTCTATGCAAAATAGTAAGCAAAACTGTTTCCCATCATCATTTCGTTTATTTTTTATGCAGGTACCCCCGTCGAAAGATTTGTATCCCATTTTTTTTTATTATGCATCAAAATTGGCTTCTACTGTTACAGACAAAATATAAATAAAATAGGTGCACAACTAGTGAATTTTCTCACGTGACGCCACTGGTATTAGCGAAGTGTACAGATACGATTGTTGGATCTTAAACGCGCTTTTGAAACAATTTCTAGGCCCTTATTGCTAAGATCAATCAAGCGCTTTGGAATTACGAGTACTGCATATAAATGGTTTGAAAGTTACTTGTCTGACAGAGCTCAACGGACTGTTTTTAATGATTCTGTTTAGCGGCGCCGGTGGTGTAGTGGTAAGCGTGATTACCTCTCACCCCAGCAGGCCTGGGTTCAATCCCAGTCGGCGCCGCTGGGATGTTCTGAGGCATAACATCTCTGATCACGCCTTCCTTCGGAAGGGAAGTAAAGCCGTTGGTCCCCGGTTCATGAGTTGATGGTCGATAGGTAGGGTCCAGGTGGGTCCTCTCTGGCGTCGGTAGCATTATTGCTCAGCACGGAAAACAAGATCGACGGAAAACAAATCCAGGAAAAAAATGATTCTGTTTCCAGTCCCGTGGGGAATAACCTTGGAGTGCCCAGGGAAGTGTATTAGGGCCCTTGTTATTTTTTATGTATATGTATTAATGATTTTTTTACGATTTTGCGATCAATGTGTGTTTTGCAGATGATATTGTGTTATTCATTGCATCTAAGGATTTAAATGATGCCGTTTTACACTTGAAATCTTTTCTGAACACGTTGTATTCGGAGATTCCACACTAGCTAATATGGAGACCATTCTCAAGTATGGGCCGAACTGAAGCGCAATATAGTGCCTTCAAGCAGTGAGGGTCTTTGAAATCTCGTGCAATCTTCGAAATAAATCCCAGTTTAAGATTCGCCTTAGAGATGATCGAGGAATAGTGAAGATTGAAGGTCATACGTTCTACTCTGCGAAGCGTTACATTGTCAATGCAGTAGTCGCAAAGGATTGAACTCTTAGAGCGGTGAAACGTCATCACTGCACACTTAGGAACGCTGATGATGAGCCTATTGCGACGGCACCAATCTACAAACAAATCTAGCAGTGCTTGAAGACGATGACAATCCTCAATCGAGTGAACTATGACGTATAGCTTAAGATAATCTGCATACACATTTAACTCCCAACAAAGTTGCTACATCGTTGAAGAATAGCGTAAACAAAAGTGGACCCAGGTTACTTCCCTGAGGTACTTCAGAGGTGCTGGTAAACGTAGAAGAAACACAAGATCCTAGTCGTACTCGAAGAGTTCGTCCAGTCAAGTAGGAATGTAAGCACGACCTAAGTTTCTCAGACGCTCCTAGTCGGGAAAGCTTGCATAACAAAACCTTCTGGTCGATTTTGTCGAATGCGGCTTTCAGATTAGTATATATGACGTCGACTTGTGCCTTAGTTATCCTCCATCGCGGTGATGCATGTACTGGTGAAATCCAAAAGGTTAGTAGTTACCGATCTACCGGGAATTAATCCATGCTGGTCAGTTGAAATGTGAACTATGATCTCACATAGTTTGGACGCTGCCAAAAGACTGGTCATACCTCGATAGTTCTTAATATCCCGTTTATTGCCAGCTTTGAATACAGGAAACATATACGACAGCTTCCACAATGTTGGGAATTTTCTTTGCTCAACGGATGCATTAAATATGGCTGCTAAAGGTTCTGCTAAGGCAGCTGAGCAATGGTAGAACACCACTGCCGGAATTCCATCTCGACCAGGAGAGGGTGAGGTTTTCAGTCTCCTACCTGCCGATAAATTGGTATATTTGGCAACGCTGTCCTGTCATCTAGGAAGTTGCTGTTTTCGGCAAACTTGTTCAAGTGAGGACATTCAGAACTAATCTGTTTACCATCCAGATGATTGCAATCACCTGATCAAATTTTCCGAAGATAACGTCTTAGATATGTTTTTTTTATTAAATAGATTTTCAGCCTCGGGCAACTTCTTACATGATCAGGACATCAAAGTAAAGTCCACATGCACATTAGCGCCTCATAGTGAGAGAAGTTTGAACTAATTTGCCCATATTTTATTTGGGACGATTGGTGGAAAGCGAAGAAAAACTCAGGTCAGTGGTTATTATCGACCACCGTTAATAAAACTGTAAATTTAATAAAGCAAATTTCTGTATTTTTCTCCTATCCTTCTTTTCTTACATTTAAAAGACCTTGATCAGCTGAACAACTTGCTCAAAGTCGAAAACTTCCTTCATAAAGGGTGTATTCGATAAAAATGGCACACCGAAAATCTTCTCTTACTTTTGAACCGTATGAGTAAAAACCTGAAAATTTGAGTAAATATTATTCAAGTTTCATAGTTATTCATACATTAGTTCCAGTAATGTCGTCAAAACAAGAAATTGTTTGTGAAAAAATGTTGCGCACTTTCAATCGAACCCCAGAGGCGTCCCACCGATGGATCGCTAAAAAACTTGAAATTGCAAATACAACTGTGTCTCTCAAGACGCTGTGAACCTTCAGTGTCTTGTAAACAGCCAACTTCGTGCGGCGGCGAATTTTATTCGACCGGAGCCTCCTCCGGAGTCCAAAGTAGACACGATTCCCTGCCATAATGCGTCTTTGAATTTCTTTGCTGGTATCATTTTCGGCGGTCACCAGTGAGCCCAAATACACGAACTCATCGACTACCTCGATTTCGTCACATTCGACACCTTCCATCCATTCCTCCGGTAATATCTCTTCCTTCCAAATCTTGGCAATTACCCAGTGCAGCGCTCTAGCCACTGCTTCACCACCGTATTTTAAGAGCTCACTTGGTAGTTGATC